GCAGGTCCTGCAGGACCCTCTCGCAGATTGTGTGAAAAAACTCGTTATTGTGTCCTGCGGGGATTTAGTGAAGCCTGATGGAAGTAAATCCCAGTATCGGCTTCTATCAGCCTTAATGTGTTCCTTCCCTTTTTGCCTCTGAAATCTCTTCTCTGCTATTGTGTGCCACAGACCCAGTGAGATGAAAAGGTGCTTACAGGCTTCCCTGTAGGCCATCTACAGTGTCTGCTCAGCGGTGCGTTACCCACTTACTGGATGATAAAGATTTCTTCTCCATATTTTTATTCCTTTAACCAAACTATCTTTTGAGTTGTCATCGCGTCTTTTGTGTTAGAACAAACGGGTCAAAGCACTGGTCAGCCTCGCTGGCAGGGTCTCTTTGATCTCCATGGTGTGTCAAGCTGAATCAGGCTTGAAATATAATAAATAAGGTTGGCTGGGTTTGGGCAGGCATGAGGCTTTTAACTGGCTCCGTGTCCCGCGGCGCGGATATGAACGAACGGTGCCGCAAGCGTGCGTGCGCGGTGTGTCGCTTAACTATTCGGCAGACGTCGAAGGTTAACGTCTCCGAAAATCCCAAGCCTTGAAATGGCACTGTGCAGAACAGTTCGCCTGTGTTCTGACTGCGCCCCGGCTGAAACCCTCGTGTTGGAACGGCAGCGATTTGAGCTTCTGGAAGTTTCTGTTGTGTGGGATTAAAACAGTTATCTTTTACTCCCCCCAAAAACAAAGGGGTCTGGGCGTGGGGAGTGCTGGATGCTATGAAATGCTCAGTGCCAAGATGTTTTCCAAAATGATAGTCTTAAAACTTACAACCAATGTGAAAGATAAGACGGGGGAGCTCCTCTTAGCGGGGTATCATCTATTCAGCTTTTGTGTGCAGGAGCATTCACACTTCTCAAAAGCTTCTGGCTCAATATGTCAATACCTGATTAACCAAAAAGAAATGCTTCTGCTTTGAATGTGAAAGCAGGGCTAAAGTAATCATGCCTTGATAGTGGGTTAATGCTTGAGCTGGTTCAGATTTCTTAATTAGGGACTGATTTCTGACATCAGGAATGTAAATCAGCTGCAATTATGTCTTTGCTGCAAGGTGCCACCTTCTCATTCAAAAAGCTTTACAAATGTTAATTGCATTTTTTAAGCAAATTTTAGTGTTTATTTTCTAAATGCTGTTCTCACTGCACCAGTTTCCAGTGTGAACTGAACAGTGTGATTTCGAGCTGTATTAGCAGGACACCTGTATTTGGAGTAGACATTGTGTGTAAACACAGTACAGTTGAGGAAGAGGCAACCTTCCTTGGGTTTTGTAGGGGTTTGTGTGCTGCTTTTTCCATAGATGCATTTGCTTGAGCTACAGTAGATGGCAGCTGTGACTGCTCTTCTTGTGTCTTCGTAATGCTGAGTTAGTACACCTTGACTCTCAGTTGTGCAGGATTTGACCATGTGCTCAAAGGAGGTGCTGCTCTACGTGTTTTTACCCATGGGTGGGCATGGGAGGTATGGAGAGATGTCGGTGGGTTAGTAGTTCAACCATAAAGCTCTTCTCTTATGTAAATGTAATTGCTGAAAGACAGATCTATTTGCTCTCCCTCCTGCATTCATACAGCCGGTCATTCTTTACTTAACTCTCATTTACTTTCAGTTTGCTCTAGTCTGAGACCTCTGGTTCTTTCAGGGCAGGCTGTGACTTGCCTGCCCAGCCTTGTAATTATAGGATACTAAAAAATGGTCAAGCGAGGAATGAACCTGAGCTCCCAAACCCCAAAGTAACGATATTTATCTTTTCAGACTTTGTAACTTACTTCTGGAAAATCCAGATTACCCAAAGAAGGAAGGCAGAGTGGTTTTAAATCCCAGCAGCAGTCTGCTTGCCAGCCAAGATGAGACAAAGGCAAGTGAAAGAATCCTCCTCTCCAGCACACTTCCCGTTGGTCTGTCCAACCTGAGGGGATCTTGGGATGTCTGGTTCTATTACTGCATAGCTTTACAGCGCCTGGCTGAGCCATACCCAGGCCTCTGTGTGCATTTAAGATGATGTTAAATAGCAATAGCTTGTTGCTTGCAAGGTGACTTTGGTTTTTTTGCTGTTGCGTAGCTGCGCCACGTCTGCTTTTCTGCCTTCAGCGAGTCCCTCTGACCTGCCTGCCTGTCAGCTACCCCGTCTGAAGTGCTCATTTTGATAACTGATCCAAGAATCCCTTGCTCATCCCTGCACATGAAGTAGACTTGGCCCTCAGGCCTCTCTTGTGTGGCCTTTAGGCAATGCCTTTCAGCCCCCTCACTGCTAATCTCCCCACAGCTTCAAAATTTTTAAGTCCATTTGACAAAAAATTCTCTAAGCTGCTTTGAGTGTGTTGAAATAGCTAAGGGTGGCCTGAGAGAGAGAAATGTTCAACACTCTTGGAAGCGTCTCTCAACCCCAAGCCAGTAAAGTGGTTCATCCTTTATAGTAACCTATGTGTATCCTCTCCTTGCTGTCCTGTGCAGCCACGTGCAGTGGTTTAAACGGCGTGGTGTGAGTTGTGCTGGCAGCAGAGCTGCAGCTGGTGCAGCTCGGGGCGGGTTACCTGCACAAGTGCACAGACCAGCAGGCTCCCTGCTGCGCTCTAAGCTGATGTTCAGAACCGGGTGCTGTGTAACCTGAATTTCGGGTGGTCTTGCAGAAGGTTCTGGTCTGAAAGGGTGGTTTGGGGTGTTGTTGTGGGTATTTGTAGCAACCTTTTTATGTCTCACGCTTCCTCCCTAGGTGCCTAAAGTGGACTACTTTGACTTTTCCAAACTCGCCCCACTTGACCAGCGGTGCTTTATTCAGGCAGCTGACCTCCTTATGGCAGACTTCAAAATGCTGAGCAGCCAAGACATTAAGTGGGCACTACATGAACTCAAGGGACACTATGCAATCACACGAAAGGTTCTCCAGTTCAAGTCTGTTTTCTTTCCTAGGCTTATCTCCAGTGTGTGTGGAGAGCAGCGTGATGTCTTTTGCCTTGCTGTGCTATCTGCCAGCATGTGGTTATGGGTGTTTGGGGTTTTTTTTAAATAATCTTCCTTTCCTTTTAGGAAACATTAATCCATTTAGTAGAGACTTGCAAAACTTATTGGCCAGACAGAATGCTGCAGGAATTTTTAACCCTTCTCTGTTAGGAGAACTGAGGAAGTAGGTAGTTGATGGTAGGCGATGTGTTAAGCTGAGGGGCATTCCAAAACTGAGCTGTGGTGTAATTGCCAATAAATCTAGATGTCCAGCTAAATCTTAAAACATTTAACTGCTGCTGTTAGTTAACCAACTGCTTGTAATGGAAAAGGACCCCAAGTCTCACTGTCCTATTTCTTCTTCTTCTGACTCCGGGAATGAGTCGTGTATCCCTCCCTGTAAAAGAGTTTCACTGTAACAGAGCTGCAAAGACACTCGTTTTAAGTATCAACCAATAAATCTAGATGTCCAGCTAAATCTTAAAACATTTAACTGCTGCTGTTAGTTAACCAACTGCTTGTAATGGAAAAGGACCCCAAGTCTCACTGTCCTATTTCTTCTTCTTCTGACTCCGGGAATGAGTCGTGTATCCCTCCCTGTAAAAGAGTTTCACTGTAACAGAGCTGCAAAGACACTCGTTTTAAGTATCAAACTGAATGTAAATGTGGCTTCAAGCTTTTAACTTGGATATTCTCCTCTGATGTGCTCCTCCTGCTTGAGCTGCTTCCTCTGCTATTCCAGGACTTAACTAAAACAAAACCTCCTTGTCTTTCCACTTGCTTGATTGAGCACTGTCATTTATTTTTAACTAAAAAAACCAAACACAACAACAACAAAAAGCTCCAAACCAGCTCTGTTGAATCAGAGTGGACACCAGCTGTATTAGCATTAATAGCTGAGGTGGTGTGAAGGATTGTTCCACTACTTCGTTTTTATGGAATGATTGCTTTGTAAGTACATAAAGCAACAAGGTAGAGTGGACACCAGCTGTATTAGCGTTAATAGCTGAGGTGGTGTGAGGGATTGTTCCACTACTTTGTTTTTATGGAATGATTTCTTTGTAAGTACATAAAGCAACAAGGAAAGAGGTGTACTTGCCTCTATTTGAGGCGTTTGGCTCTCTGGTTTTGGGTCAGTCTTATGCACATGTGTTTACCGTGTTTCCATTTGAAGTATGTGCTTCTGCTTTCTTCCAGGCACAGGCAGGATTTAAGACTGTGTGTTGTTTTCTAGGCCTTTTCAGATGCCATCAAAAAATGGCAGGAGCTGTCTCCCGAAACCAGTGGGAAGCGAAAAAGGAGGAAAGAAATGAATCAGTATTCATACATAGACTTCAAATTTGAGCAAGGTAAATACCAAGCTGTGTGTGTTGTGCTCTCCGCACCGTTACTGGAAGCGGGACTGCCTTGCAGCAGAAAGTACTGTTCTTGAAAAGGGCTGTGGTCCCAAGACAGCTACGTTTCTGTTACTGTCTGCTATGTATTGTGGAGATGTCTTTCATTAGTACCTCTGCTTGGTATGATGCTGTTTGACATGCTGAAGCTATGCAGCTGGTAGTGTGCGGAGGAAGAAGGATTTAAGCTTTGTTCTGGCTGCTCCATCCTGTTTCATTGTGCCTTTAACTCTGCTTTAGGGGATGTGAAAATTGAGAAGCGCATGTTCCTCCTGGAGAACAAGAGGCGGCACTGGAGATCCTATGACAAGCGCTCCCTACTCCCACCGGTGCTGCTGGAGCAGGAATTCTATGAGCAGAAAGTTAAAGAGATGGCAGAGGTGAGTGGTAGGAGCTGCTTTGATCTTGAGGGCGAAACAGCTTCAACTGCAACACCCACTGGTGTGTTGTCTTCCCCTCGTAGTCTGAGGGAAGTTTGAATCCACAGCTCTGCACCTACAGTCCTCTCTAAAGTGGCTTAAAAATCCTTGTCTCTCAGGCAGATGGATAGTGTCTCCTTTTAAACACAAAGCTGATGTTCCTCGGGGCTTTCTCTGGAGGGGCCCTTTGGGTGAGATCATCTCTGCCCATGGAAACTTGAACTAGCAGCCCTTCATAGTATAGAATCTGGTTCTTTTGTTCTTGCTGCCTTTGCTTCTCCCATCTGTTTTAGCTGAATCATAAATAGCTTAATGGATTGGAAGGATGGGCTGAGTGATGTTGTAAGCAGACAGTGTGCCTTTTATGGTGGTTTGTAAGTCTTGAGATAATGTAAGAGAGCGTAGAGGCTGGGAAAGTGCTTTATCTATTCTGTAATTACAGATGCACATGTCTCTCTTGCAGCACGCAGACTTTCTCCTTGCTCTGCACATGAATGAGGAGCAGTATCAGAAGGTCAGTATCCCGAATGTGATCCCTTCAGTTCAGCTTCTGTGGAGACGCTGTTTTTTGCTTACTACTTCACAGACTCTTTTGGCTTCTGGAATGCAGCTTTTCCGAAGCCGTGTTTGCACTGTGCTGCTTTTGCTGAGCTGGCAAAACCTGCATCGTGTTGTCTACCTTTTCTAAAAGTCAGCCAAGAGCTGAGTCCAGGAAGACAATATCGATGCACGTAATGATCTGTAGTAATTCAGTCGGCTGCTGCTTGTATCTCTGTTGGCCAGAACAAACATTGCTATACAATAGTGTACTAGGCTTGCTCTTGCTAGCACCACTGAGGTGGTTTAAAACAGCTTTGCTGTTGTTGGAGTTCTGCCAGTGCAAAGGCCTTCTTCATTTGCAGAAAAGACACTTTAAAAATCTGAAAATCAGGTTTTTCCCTTTAAACAAAGAGGAAAGTTAGGGATCAGGTTAGCAGCTGTGGATTACCTTTTCATTCTCAATGCCTGTTTCTCTTTGAACTCTGGAGAAGGTGTTGGACCTTTTGAAGAAGTGGGCATGCTCACTTTTTTTTAGCAGCAGCAAGTTTCTCCACCCCTGCAGTGAAGAGGCCAGGACCAGGTCTCTCTCCAGGCAGATGGGTAAATGTTCCTTTAGAGGACAACACATCTGAAGCTTGGTTTTCCCCATATGAGTGGTGTGTACTCTCTGCTGCTTCCCTGCGATTGCAGCTTCCCAAATCCAAGACGTTTCTCTGCCTGTGAGCTAAGCATTATTAAACACCATGTGTTCTGTAGCTCTTTGGAACCTGTCAAGCAGGACACAGAGGTATTAAGTTACTTAAAACGGAGTTTCTGGTTGTGAGTTTTGATCACCAGATAGGATTCCTAAGGGAATGGTGTATCTCTTGCTCCTTTTTAGAATGAGCACTGGCATCGTTCATAGCTTGCAGTTGGATGTGTGTCCATGTTGCTATAGCTGTTGATGTTTTGGTGATGATGCTAATACCTGTTTGTGGCTGCAGGATGGTCAGATGATAGAGTGCCGCTGTTGTTACGGGGAGTTTGCGTTTGAAGAGCTAACTCAGTGTGCGGATGGTCACTTGTTCTGCAAGGAGTGCCTAATCAAATATGCTCAGGAGGCAGTCTTTGGCTCTGGGAAGGTAAGAATTACCTGAGGAGAAGATGGGTAAACTGCTCCTGGGAGATCGCATTGCTCTTTGCCTAGTGCTGCTGCTTAAAGCGGATGTAACTGCATTTCCCAGGAAATACGTTGAATGGAATCCTGTGTCCCAAAATCTGCATCCAACGAGTCAGTGTCGCCATCAAGTGAAGCCAACAACTTCACGATGGGATCTTAACTGAAATTCTGTTCAGCATTGCTAACCTCCGTCTCTTGTGCTGTGTGCTCAGCAACTTGGATTATTAGGAAAACTTTCTACTGCATTCGTAGTAGTAACAGTAACTTGTCTGGGTTTTATTTTCTATTTAAGAAACCAATGGTATCTGCAGAGAGAACATGCTCTTATCGCTGACTTGGGCAGTATCCTGCTGACTGAGAGTGTTTGTCCTTCATAAATGCCACTGTGATCCCAACTTAATTTGGGGGTGGCTTGCTCTGTGATACTACTAACCTTCTTAGCCTCCAATTTAGCAATTATCCTGGTACTTATCTGAGCTGTAAACAAGGCATTAACCTGCTCCAAGGTGTGCATGCTCCTTTGTCTCGAGATACGGGGAGGGGGGGAATGCTTTTGTACTATGAAGAAACTGGCAGCTGTGGTTTCTGTCACCATATTGACAAGAACACAACATGTTGTATTCAGTAATAGTGGGCCACTGTGTGGTCACAGTGGACTTGGAGTGAGTAAACTGTGATTCCAGCTACCATTAGTACCCCAGTGTTCAAGGCCTGATCTGCTTGATTAACTAGTCTTGTTCTTCCATAGCAAACCCTTTCTCTGGCAGTCATCTGCTGACTGAAGCTCTGTTCTCTCTCAGCAAGGCTCTGCGCTGGTTCATTTTGGAAACGTTCTGGGTTCTGAGTCTTGCTTTTTCTTCATGTCGTGCTAAACCTGAGCTCTCCCCTTCCAACTCTAGTCGGAGCTCAGCTGCATGGAAGGCAGTTGCACGTGTTCATTCCCCACCAGCGAGCTGGAGAAGGTGCTTCCGGAGAACATCCTCTGTAAATACTATGAGCGGAAAGCTGAGGAGGAGGTGGCAGCTGCCTGTGCAGATGAGCTTGTCAGGTAAGTGTCCGGCAGAGGATGAAAACTGCGCATACCGTTGTAGGAAATTGTTCCCCGAAACCCTAAATGTATGCTGACAATGAGATAGGTAGCTTTCAAAGAGCTCTACTATAAATTCAGGCTTCTGCCTTCCCAGGTCTGTTTTTATTCAGGTTGGCCTGCTTTTGACTAGGAGCAGATTAAAATTCAATAGATTTGTCCTCCCCCAAGACTTGCTTGCCAGCTCTGTGCTGATCCTCTAAATTACATGGTCAAAAGCAGTGCTGAGCACATAATATTGTGATTGCAAACAGGGAAGTGATCGAAGAAATAGGAGCATAGTCAGCACATCCTGGCAGCCCGCATTTGGTTGGCAGCCTTATTAACTGCACATAGCTATGTGACTAAATCTGCTTTCAGCAAAGATAGGTTTGGTGCTCTGCATTAATGACATCTTATTTTGGGATGCAGGTGTCCGTTCTGTAACTTCCCAGCTCTACTGGACAACGATGTGAAGCGGAAAAACCTAATCCCCGCTGCAGAAAGGTAATTGGGGGATATTTTACCATGTGGTCTCTTCTGGAGTGTTGGGCAGGACAGCTGGGAGGACGACTCATGCCTCCTTAGTGGTAGGTGAATGAATATCTAATGTGGCTGCACAGGGCAGCAGCCAAAGGATTTGCTGGATCCTGCTGATGTTGTACAGAATTATGTGGCTGGACATGCAGATTTCAGGGCACTGTTGATAAATACAACAGTATTCCTTTCTTTCCTTGGAAGATGTTGATTAAAAAAGGCTTCTAGGTGCCTTAGGCTGCTGTCTTGCATATACAGAAATGTTTTATGTGAACAGGGAGTTGGATGCTTAAGTGACATAAAACCAAATTGCAATCCTTCATAGAATCATAGAATGGTGTGGGTTGGAAGGGACCTTAAAGACCATCTAGTTCCAACTCCCTGCCATGGGCAGGGACACCTTCCACTAGACCAGGTTGCTCCCAGCCTCATCCAGCCTGGCCTTGCACACTTCCAGGGAGGGGGCATCCACAGCTTCTCTGGGCAACCTGTCCCAGTGCCTCTCCACCCTCTGCGGGAAGAATTCCTTCCTGATGTCCCATCTCAATCTCCCTCTTTCCATTTAAACCCGTTACCCCTTGTCCTGTTACTCCCTGCCCTTGGAAAAAGTCTCATCCAGCTTTCTTGTAGCCCCCTCCCAGACACTGGAAGGTGCTACAAGGTCTCCCCAGAGCCTTCCCTTCTCCAGGCTGAACAAGCCCATTATCTAATGAATCTGCTGGAGAATGAACTGCAACAACCTTACATGCTGTCCTCGAGAGAATTAGCATCTGCATTTTTCTTTTATGCTGTCACCTGACAACAAATTCAGTTGGCAGGGACAAAAAACCTCGTTTGAAGAGCTCACTGAAATGTGTCTGTTCAGGGGGCAGGTCTTCGTGCTTCTCGAAGTTTGCCAATAGCCATAATGGGAGAATTGTCAGGCCCGATGCAGGGATGGAGTGGGGAAAACTTGCTGCTTCTCCCACCATCTGTTCTGGGAAAAAATAGAAGCACAGAAAGGTGTTTCCCAGTCTCCTCAGTGTATGCAGAGCCCTGCTCGCCTCTGGTGCCAGCGAGCCAAGGCCAGTACCGTGTCAGTGCTGAAGCTACAAGACGTCTTGCGTAACCCAGCCACAACGGCGAATTCTCGTGCAGCGTTCAGGGAACCGCCTGTCCCCCAGCAGAGATTTCTGCCAATCACTGCAATTCCTCTTGAGCGCGTTAACCTTATGGTTGTAGCTGCCAGAGCTTTGGGTTCTCGTATCCGCCGCCGTGCCGCTGTTTTTCCGTATTGAGGAAGTCATAGGAAGTCACGTCCCGTTGTCTGGAAAAATTGAAGTTGCCAGCAGTGAACTTTGCATTCTGCAGCGAACACTGCGCTTACTGGCAGGGGAAAAGCTGCTTAGGAAAAGATGTACGGCTCCGTTTTAGATCTCTAATCTCCAGGTACGTTTTGTTAACATCCACCTCTAGCACTTGGGAACAAAATGTGATTCTCATGGATCATCCCAGTGCCGCGAGCGAGGAGGTTGCTAGTCGCTAGGTGGCAATGTTGGTTCACGTTTAAATGTGCTTGTTTTTTCAAAACCCGACTTGTTTTCAAAATGTACATATGTCAGCACCACAGGACGAAATTCAGGCTTGAAGAACATGAATGCTTCAGTGTGTAAAACGAATTGAAGTGGCTTTTTTTCCTAAAATGTGTAAAGTAACTGGAAAGAGGGGTCAGTGCTGAAGTGTTCCTCTTCTGATTTGCTGTTTCATTTCCTTCCTAGCATACTGCCTGTCCCCCCCTCCCTGGGGTTGCAGCATTCCAGTGGGCTGGATTTCTGGTTTCCTGGACAGCTTGTGTTGATTCATTAGCTGAAAATCTGCTGAGTAGCTTTGTGCTCTTCTTAGAAGTCTTGAACGGCTTTAGGATTTGAAGTGGAGGGTGAGGAATTCGGATAGCAGGATGTGGTGTTGTCTTGCAGCATCAACTGCAGTGCTTCTTCATATTCCCGCTATCTTGTCTCCCTCCAGAATGAAGAATTTCAGTTAATGCTCTTGCTTGCAGGAAACTGTTGCCCTTAGGGAGGAAAGGGCTAATCTCTGCAGCGGTTGGAGAGGATGCATAGGCTTTGCTAGCAGTGCCTCTGGCAGCCTCGGTGGTGGTGATGACTGATCCTGGAAGGAGTCCCTCTCCGGCTGGACGGACTGCACTTGCACAGCTGAACCTGAAGTGAGGGGAAGTGTGGAAAGGGAAAGGTCAAAATGTGCCTCTCCTGAAACCTCAAGGCTCTTCAGGGGTGGGGAGAGGAGGGCCAGATGGTGGACCTGGGGTATTTCTGCGCTCCATCACCTGGATCCTTTGTCTTGCTTTGAGAGTTCATGTAGATCCTCTCAGCCTTTCCTTTAAGTCTTGGAGGGAGGTTGATTCATGTCTTCATATTGTGAGGTGATGGGAACCAGCTGGAAGCCTTCCTTTTGGCTGTATATATGGATGTTGGGCTCAATAATAAGAGCTCTAGGCGTACCCGAGTCACTGCAGTATGCACCTCACCTGTAGTTCTGGGCATTTGCACCTTGCGGGGAGCAAAATATGACTAATTGCAACCTCAGCAATGGGCAGAGCTGCTGGTGGCCGCCTGTGCCTGAAGGGCTGCCCGGAGAGCGTGCAGGTGAGCCTGCACCAGCTGCTAGGGCCACTGAGACTCCAGCTGTGTGGCGGGGAGTTTGGCTCCCAGTTAGATGACCAGGGCTTGAATCTTAATATTGTGAACTGCAGGGTGGAGGAAAAGCTTTAATGAGCCAAGGAACATTGCTCAGGTCACCCTATGGATGCGCCGTCGGTGCGTGCAGTCTGAGCTGGTGTTGAGAGAGAGGCAGCTTTTGCTCAGACCTCTTGAGTTTTGAGGTTTTGCTCTGAAACAGGTCACTGACCGTGCAGGGAGCCAGGCTTCCTGGAGGCAGGAGGGTTTGCCAGCCTGCTTGGTTATCCCTCTGCACAGGGATCCCTGCGTGGAAGCCATTCTTATTTCCCCTCCCTGTGCTCTGACAGAGCAAACCAAAGCTGGGAGTTCTGGTAAAAGTGGGAAGGGCACATGTTGCTGCTTGACTTGTGCAGCCCTGGGAAGTGAGTGTGCGCTTTTTCACGTTGGGGGAAGTACTGCTTCCCACCAGAAAAGGAAGTCCATCCTTTCTGCTCAGCCTCCCTCCTCCCAAGACCCCTTATTGGTGGTGAAAACAAGACTTTTGTTCCCAGGCCGCTTGCTGCTGTCCCCATTGCCCTGTTGTGGGTGGGGGAGACGTCTCCCCTCTTTGCAGTCTCAGCACAAAGCACTGCAGGGCTTTCAGCCAGTGAAGAGACGGGGAGGTGAAAGCTGCCGTTGCCATGGAAATAATGCATGCACAGTCCCTCTGGTACTGGAGAGCTCAAATCCCTCAACACTCATTTCATAGCCAGGCCACATTGCAGGGACTTGCATTTCCAAGACTTTTCCTTAAAACTCCCTCGCACAGCTTAAAATGTTTGTTACTTTATTGTACGGAGTTGTTGTCTGCGTCGCTGCTGGCTGGATGTGAAGAGGTGATGGCACATGGTTGCCAAAACAGCATCACCCGTGGACCGAGCAGCTGCCACTCCCATTCAAGGGTCCTTAGTGCACCCTGTTAACGAGGGTTTTTGGGGAGTGGGTTTGCCTGCTGGGTGTCTGAACGGTCAGGCTGGAAAAACGAGCATTGATGTGCCTGTGTTGGATAAAATCTCCGCTCTTTGCCTTTACGTCTTCTCTGGCCACAGCAATCCTTGTGTGTGCTTTTAATTTGCAGGACTAAGACATGGTGTTTCAAGGGAATTATTTTTAAGCTGCTGGAATATCTCGGGATTGATTTCAAGGTGCTGGCTAGGAACAGATGCACCCAGCTGCTTTTAACCTTCCTTTTCTGTTGGAAGCGAGACAGCTTTAAGCTTGTAGAGAACTCTGCCTGGCAAGCGGTGTCTGAACATGGCTGCTCTTAGCAGGGTGCTAACACTGCATCCACAACCTCTGTTAACAGCCAAAGTCACGTCGTAGGGTTGGCAGTGACTTCCATGAGTGGCCTTTCTTGCTGAAATACCGAATTGTTGCTCCATCAACAAGACTTACAGAATCACAGACTGGTTTGGGTGGGAAGGGACCTTAAAGCCCACCCAGTGCCCCCCCCTGCCATGGGCAGGGACACCTTCCACTAGACCAGGTTGCTCCCAGCCTCATCCAGCCTGGCCTTGGACACTTCCAGGGATGGGGCATCCACAGCTTCTCTGGGCAACCTGTCCCACTGTCTCCCCACCCTCCGCAGGAAGAATTCCTTCCTGATGTCCCATCTCATTCTCCCTCTTTCAGTTTAAACCCGTTACCCCTTGTCCTGTCACTGCAGACCCTTGTGAAAAGTCCCCCTTCAGCATTTGGGAGCAGTTAAGCTTATAAATATTAATAATAATTATATATTATAATGTATTTATAAGTATTATAATTGCTGTGTAAAGCGGTGACGAGCACAGTGCAGTGCCTGTACCGGCACTGACGGGGCACACAGATTCCACGGTAGGTAACGAGGCAGCCCCAGCCACCTATCATCCAGTCACTAGTGGTTTATGGGGGTACAAGGGGAAATGTTTGTGCAATCAAGTACCCAGCAGCAGGGGATGTTTGGGATGACACAGCCTTCCAGGGATGTCATCCAGCACCTACTACAGGGCCCTTCACTCTTGTGCTAGAGGCCTGCCTGGAGCTGCCCTGCCCGACTCCAGATGCGCTGTAGTTTTAGGCTTAGACTGCGTCGAGATTTGTCACTGGCATCATTTCCATGATGCGTGTGCAACATGGGGAAAAAAAAAAAAGATTGTTCTGCTTAGAGAAATTGAGCTTGTCCAAAACGCCTCGGAGTGGGATGTGCATATGGAGAATTACTTAATTCTTCTTGTTTTGCAACATGTTTTCCCAGCTGTTGAAGTCTGCTGTCTCATT